TGGCCTTACTACTAGGAGCAAGGACGCTACTAGGAACAAAGGGCCTTACTACTAGGAACAAGGAGCTACTAGGGGCTCCTGCGAAACATCTGACTTCGGAGGAAGTGGAGTTTCGAGGGCCCGGAGGTGGTTTGATGAAGGCAGACTCTTTGAGCTTTCTTTCCTACTAGGGATGGCCTCCAACCTAGCAGCTAGCAGCTGCTTCTTTGGCGAAGGAAATTGGACATGCAATGCAACTCATTGTGTCACAACAACTTCACAGTCAGTCATGCTGCTCATGCTTGATGTTGGCAAGGCCGTGGTTCCAAAAGGAATCAAGGCGGGCGAACAGTTCGCCGTGAGCCGTGAGCTCAGAAAGGCATGGCGTGGACATGAGTCGTTTGCGGTGAAAGATTTCGGTATTTGCTTTCACTCAGACTCTCTTGCCACAATGCACACAGACGCGTTGCGGACAAGTATCTTTTCCAGAGTCTGATCTTGCAAACTTGAATGGTGGGAAGCACTGCCGTCCCAGATCATTGCCACACACGGCTTCCTTCTTGATGTCTTCAAGCACCATCCCAGATCATGCTCGTGACACAGGGCGATCATCCCAGAACTCTGTGACCCTGTGAGGTTTGATCAATGATCCCGCTCTTCATTCGGGGCTCCCAGCGCTCTGCACGGCGTGTTCGAATGGCGACCTAGAGGAGCGCTTTGGAAGATTGCGGAGCCACGAGAAACGACGAGCCGAGCTGCTTTCGTGGGGTGGGAGGAAGGAGGGGAGACCCAGTGGGAGACCGTTTTGGCTGGTTTTGTTAGACCTTTGGTGGCCTTATTTGAGTTTATCTCACCCTGTCCTTCACCCAACTCTGCCAGGAGGCAAAGAAGTTGGTCGCTGCCTCCAACTTGAATGTGAATGGTCACTTGGCAGTATGGTATCTCCACGCTTGCGAGCTTTGCATTTGGCTGTGGTACTTGTTTCGCTTCAACGCCTAACACTGAAGTCCACCTTGGCACGCGAGAGGGAGTCTCAGAGAGAGAGAGAGAGAGAGAGAGCGCGTGCGAAAGCGCCAGAGCGTGCCTGGCAGGTACTTTTGATCAAGGCTTCACTCCGCTCTTCTACGCGGCCCGGCGCCCACGGCGCCCACTGCGCCCACTGCGCGCCGCGTCCCACGACGCCGCGCTGGCGCTTTGAGCGCCCCCCCCCCCCAATGCGGAGCACCCAGGCAACGAGCGGCGCCTTTGAAGTGGCCAAATGGCTGGTAGAGGACCCGAATTTGAGCAGAGTTGGTTTGGAAATGGGATTCGATAGATGGCTTGACATCATGTCCAGTGAACTGTAACACTGTACCACCATGTACCAAACATGCTGCTAACCTAGGGTTCGAAGACTAGTAGCATTCTTGTTTCACTGGGAATCGTTTCACCTGTAGTCACAAGAATGCTACTAGGGGGTCTTTGAAGCTTCTTAGTAGCATTCATACTACTAGTAACAAGAAGCTACTAGGAGCAAGGGGCATCGCTACTAGGAGCAAGGACGCTACTAGGGGCTCCTGGCCGTACTACTGATCTTTCCCCAGGAGCGGGCAGATGTCAATGCTTCCAACGAAACCAAGCGTGCCTTGGTGTTACAAAAACAATATTAGTGTGAAAAAACTTCCGTGTTACGGACATTCAACAGCTGTTCAATACACCACTCATCATACACCACTTATCATTGCACCAATCATCATACACCACTCATCATACACCACTCATCAAACACCACTCAAAATACACCAGTCATCATACACCACTCATCATACACCACTCATCATACACCACTCATC